CCTCCAAATTAGTTTTCAACTTGTGTAGTAAAATATCCACGAGATCTCGTTGCGTCTTCATCTATTATGAACATTTTAGGTGAGGTTTACCGAGGTAAACTCCTGGAAGCTGAGGACAACATGAATTGTCAGATGGCTGAGGTATGCGTCACATTTCGTGATGGAAGGACCCATCAACTTGATAACGTTTTTGTTAGAGGGAACATGGTCTCTCAATAATCATTTCTTGCTTTTCTTTCATAGGTTGTAATGTTTTAGGAAAGCTTACTCGCCATTCTTCAGGCTGACAGTATAGAAGTTTTCGTTTTATAAATCCGTTTTATGATTTTGCCGGATATGCTGAAGAATGCTCCTATGTTCAAAAATATTGGACGAGCGCAGAAGGTACTCGAAATTTATCTGTTGTTGTTTTAGTTATTTATTTATACTTTAAACCATTTATGAAAGCAAAACAATATCACAAAAGCAACCACTGAGAGGCGGGGTGTGGTTCACTAGGACAGAAAGCGACTTTTCGCGTTTCGCAGCGCGAAACATTTTCCGCTGCGGGAACCTCAGGTCCACCGCTGATCATCAGTGGACCCGAGGTTCCCGCAGCGAATCATCAGTGGACCCGAGATTCCCGCAACGAACAATGTTTCGCGCTGCGAAACGCGAAACAAACAAATGCGAATGTTTTTTTTTTCATTTTTTGCTTTTGCACTCTTCTAAACTATAGTCGTCTCACTGAGTCTTTGTAAGTTTAGTGAATTTTGTGATAAGATTTTGCGAGAAAACAAACGATACGATTTGTTCGGAACGTTAGACAAAGCGCTACAGCGCAGGTATTCTCTGTCAAAAACTATGACCTGTTATTAATCTTAATTATTTCTTCTACTGTGACGCAACTATAGGTAACGGTGAGGCCCACTCTTGGCTACCTGAACTGGTGAATGAAGCCAAGCAGCTCCATGTTAATGCAGGTTTGCCGTAACAGCTGGTACATCATGGTATCATCAATAGAAATCCTTTTGGGAATGGAACCGCCATTTTCATGATGGATGGCGCTATCGCCATTAGGTATGGTTTTCAGTTTTATTTTTATTATTATTTATGAAATTAACTACTACCTGAACAGATTCACGAACGAAGTAGACTGCGGCCAAATCGGTATTAACGTGCCGAATCCCTGTCCCTCTACCCATGTTCTCATTCACCGGGTCACGTGGTTCGTTCAGAGGAGACTTGAGCTTCTACGGAAAAGTGGGTTTTATCAGCTACAGCGCCCTGTGAAAGCAATCGAGATCACCGGAATCTTTCCAGGCTGGAGTTCAATTCTACACACAATGGAAGACCAGAGAATCTAGCAGATATGAAGCGTCAAATGTCTTTCCCTCAGCACAAGTAGATGTAATCTACATTTGAAACATAGTGTGATAGTGTCATTTTCAGAATTCTAAAAGCCTTATACAAGGTATTTGTTTTGTTATATTGTTATAACTGCATGACATTTACAAATGCACCTCAGGTCGTGTCAATAAAAACACATAACGATTTAAATCACAACTATTTATAAATCCCAATAAAATTTGGTAAATTCGATGTGTAGAAGTATCACTTCATTATAGAAGGTCATTATATAAGGTATAAAGTAGGACTATATTCGTGTTGACGTCTTACTTGATGTGGTGATTGTGATAACACCCACAATGGCTACAAAAACACCGAACGAGCACACTCAGCCTCATTCTACATGGTGCTGCCGGGGCAGCCGGAGTCGGCGGGAGGTAGAGGGGGGGGGGAGAGGGGAAAGGGAGGGAGAACATGGTGCTGCCATGCGCCGGAGAGAAGGGGTATAAGGAGGTATAACACATTCAATAGTGAGGTGGTTAATGGAGTACGTCATGCTGCTATTCCGTGGTTCCTCCCTACCCTGATAGCGGGCGGAGCAAAACTGGTTTACAATATATTGAGCAAACGCTTGGCGAAGTAATATTGTTGAAACGGATCAAGCACTAGTGAATGCCACTTCAAGACTGGAATTACAAGCGAGTACATACTGACGGCTTAAAATGGTAGGGTCACGAAAGAACTGTGAGAAAATGCTAGTCGCAAAACAAGTGCTATGCAGTATGACGGCATTTTTCATCAATGAGCACAATGTAATGCCTGAGCAAAATGAAGGTAGGAGGGAAATCACTCGGTAATCGATACGAAATTTGATATGAAGAACTTCATTTCATGATTATAAAGTCTTCCATTTCAAGTCCATTAAAAACGTAAACGATGCATATCTACTTTATATGATTCTAACCTCACTATGAAATAAAGTACTGTCTGAGATATTCATAGGTTGTGAAAGAACTTAAAAATAATTCAGGCAGTACTTTATTTCACAGTGAAGTTGTATTATTTATTCCATAGCATGAATATTGCGACTGTTTTGTTGGAAAAGACATACCGAAATAAAATTTTATGTACACCTTATGCACCTACATGAAAATTCTCGACGTCATACAAAGCACCAAATCGTCTAATTGATATCAGACCGGTCTTATCCCCGTCATTATCGTCATCCGTGTCTTCCTGAGACTTTTTGAGACGAAAACAAAACTCAAGAATAATCAGCTCACTAAGGCGTATTGATTTTCCTATCAACTGGTGGCTTGATGCCAGCAATGTCCGGACAACTCGTCCGGACACAGTTAGCCACCTAAGGCCGCCTCCTTCGGCGCTGTTTGACAGGGGGTTTTATATCGGGCCTCGTGGACACTTTCTTTCCGTTTTTTCTTCATGGTCGCTCCCTTTCACATCCATAAACTCACTTTCGAGCGCCAGAACACCCTAATTCAATCCCGACTTTTGCCTTTAACCGCTGGACAATCTGTCATAAATGCTGGCGATGTGAATGCTTCCACTTGGTTCTCGGAGTTTATA